AACAAGTGAGTGTTTCCAACCAAGGGCCTGGGCGTGGTACCTTTGACAGTTGATTTAGACTTTTGACTTTCCAGGGCAGTGCTTGGTCACACTGCTTGGCACAGGCTGAGTTTGGCCTGTGTAGTCTGGGCTCTGTTCGAGGCCCGGACTGCTGCAGAACACGGGTTACTGCATCCGTGCCGACCCATTTTCGAGTTCCATCACAAAAATAGCTTAGACTTTAACCCACATTCATATGCAGATACAATATCAGGAGCAGTTTCAAGTAATTCTCGTTTACTAAACCATATGTCCTCAGATGGTGCCTGAGATTTGAAACGTGCCTTGAACTGCTTCTAGGGTCATCCGCGTGCACCTGTAGAGAAGTACCCATGTTCTATGATTCTGTCTGCTTCATATCTGCCTTCCATGGATGGCAAAATCATAGATGGTCTCTTTGGGAACGCATTTCCTTCTACATAGGGCAACAATTTGGACGCGTGAAAGCCAGGATACGTTTCGAGGTGAGGGGGGATATCAATACGATAAGACGGTCCCTCTGCATCCCCAGTTACTTTGATAACTTCCCAGGGTCCAAAATAGACAGGCATAAGTTTTTGGGACACATCTTCTTCCAACGAAAACTCTTTGGACTTGGCCCAGACTAGATCGCCTTCCTTGAATGCTGATGGTCGGCGATGCTTATTACCTTGTTTAACCATCTAGTCCTGAACTTTCTTCAAATTGTTCTGAACTTTCTTAATGTCTTATTGAAACAATACTGCATACTCCTGGGTCCCTGGAGGTAACCTAAGAAACTGGTCCCGTGCTAACACATCAATGGGACGCTTAGGTTTCCACCCCTTGTGCAGTGTATTAGGCGTGCGCCCTGTAGCGGTATGAACACCACTATTGTATGCACTTGCTATCTTGGGTAAGTTCTCGCCCCAATCAATCTGATCAGGTCTTACATACATATGCAAAAGTTGTTGACACAAACGGTTCATCTGTTTACTTTGTCCATCCGTTTCAGGGTGTCGCCCTGACGACATGGTCAGTCGTGTACCGTATGCTTCCATCAACTTTTGCCATGGCATACTTGTGAACTTGGCATCACGATGAGATACAATAGAGAGAGGAAAACCATACTCAGTCACCCATCGCATCTGAAACTTTTGTATGACAAGTTTTGTTCGCGCTTCTGCGGGTAAGGGAATAAACATGGCATACTTAGAAAAACGATCCACAATAACCATTATTTGACTATTGTTGTTCCGACTTTTGGTGAGGCTCATAAAATCAATTGAGATAGACTCACCTGGTTCGCTAGGAATAGGTAATGGTTTCAGAAGACCGAGGGGATTCTCGTTTGAAGGTTTGTTTCTCTGACACATCAGACATGTATGAACATAAGTTAGTACGTTCTCCTTCAATCCCTTCCACTCGAAACGTTCTCTAACCTCAGCGTACATTTTCTTGAAACCAAAATGTCCTTCAGTGTCGTGACATTCCCCAATCAACAGACTTTTAAGTTCTTCCTTGTGAGGAATACACAATCTCTATTTCGTTTGGTCTAACAAGAAAAGCAAACCATCGGTTATTCGATAATTGGGAAGTAAAGTTGGGTTTTTCGCAAGGATATCCATGATAGGTTTCCAGATAGGGTCAGTAGCATATCCTTGACAAATTTTATCTTTTAAATAATTCTCAACATCCAAATAAGAGACAATAGCACCAAAGAAATCACATCGTCTGGACAACGCATCTGCAACCACATTAGACTTACCTTTGATAGTTTTCAACTCAAAATTAAAAGTATCAATGAATGCAGACCATCATACTAACTTATCAGAGAGTTTAGGTTGTGTTTTTATCCACTTCAGCGTCGAGTGGTCGTAGTACACAGATAAGTGTATCCCTAACAAGTAGTGTTTCCATGTGTTCAGTGCGCAGACTAAGGCATACAATTCCCTTTCATAAGTGGAGTTGGCAACTTTTTCCGAAGGCAATCGTGCAGGCATAAACTCAATTGGTCTATAACCATTGTCGTCGTTCTGTTGAAGGAATGCGCCAATTCCGTACTGACTGACATCAATAGTGACAATGAAGGGAAGTGATGGATCAACAATTTTCAGAACAGGATAGTGAGTCAAAACATACTTTATCTTCTTAAAGGAAGACTCACAGTCCTTGTCCCACAACCAGATTAGTT